TCCTTGACACCTAGATTTGAACACTTGGCCCAATGGTGGGTTAGGCTAGGTTGTTATTCAGCCCACACCCATGCTCGCCCAGACTTGAAAGCATAGCACACCATCTAAAAGTTCATTGACTGCAGATGATGTTTCGTACTCGGTATTTGTAATTTTGTTTGATAGGAAAATAGATAGTGTCAATATTCTCATCTTCATCCATAAAAGATCATCTACAACTCTATAAAAGCTGCATAATTGCTTAACAAGTTTCATATTTCAGTTTGCAAGCCCTGAACATGTGTAAAAACTCACAATCATTTCTTCTTGGACGGGTATTTTAATTAGAACCAAATTTCCTGAATCGAAACTGAATCAAAGCCGAAGGTTCTGGTCCTATTCCAAAAAAAAAAATTAAGAATCGAAATCGAGAACTAAGAACCGAATGAGTCTGGATCGATGAAGAACCAAGAATCGTGGGTACTTGAATGGAACCGATTTTTTACATTTTTTTTTATTTGTACAATTTTTAAGCTGGGTAAAAAAAAAATACAAAATCTAAAAACTATAATTTAGATAGTAATTTGTGTAAAACTCTAGATTCTAACCCTAAAAAAATCAAGATTAACTTTTACTTTTCTGCCTCTCTCCTCACTAAGATTATTACATTTCAAATGTTAGTACATGTTAATCACAATTTGGTCTTTCTATGAATCAAAAAGCTAGGGTTGCAGTGTAAGTTGATGAATCAAAGCGTTTATTTTTTGTAATTTGGACATTTTATTTTCTTACATTGTTTACGAATTTAAGTGATTTTTTTAAAAAAAATTTCTAACGCATTGCAATAAAACTTAATATATTCATAGCTTGCGCTATTGTGTACCATTTTTCGTTCTCTCAAGTTCATGATTCTTTTTTATTCAAATAGAACGAGTTCAATATATAAACCTCAATTTCCTAATACGACATAGTTATATAATTAATTAGTTTTTTTATTTTTATGTGAGTTCATTTTAAGAGTAGAATAATTTAAGTATTGCCCATAATTAAATTGTAAGTTCTAACATGCCTTACTTATGGATCAAATAAGATTTATTAGAAAAAATCATTTGTCCGTAATTTACTTTTTGATATTTTAATTTTATCCTATTTTCTTTGTATTTCGTCTCCATTATTTCAAGTCATTTAGCTGAATTTCTTAGTTTCTTGAAGATTTTTTAACAAAATTTTCCCTTGCACAAATATAGTCTACTAGTATCGTATTAGGTATACGTATCGAAAGGATCTATGTAAACATATATACTAAATATATATGAAGAAATATTATGGGTAAAATCGAAACCAAATCCGAAACCAAACCCATTAGATTTGGTTTCAATTATTACAAGGACCCGAATTATTCCATTTAAAAAAGTACCCAAAATATAATAAGTAGTTTCGGATATTGAAATACTCAGACCGACCCACCCGACACTCTGGCTTAATTTCTTCTTTCACAATCAAACGGTGACTCAAAACAGGAGAAAAGGTTCAAAGAAACCAATATGAGCAGAAAATTTTGTTCTTGCAGCAAGAAA